TGTTTAAAAGGAGGTTCAGAAAATGTGCCTGAATGTCACAAATAATTGCCTGGGTTTGTCATTGCCTTTCAGAAACAGCCAAGTGCTGCGGAGTACAAGAAGACTGATGCTCCTCAGCCTGATGTGGTGGATGATGAGAAAGAAGAAGAAAAAGATAAAGGGGAAAAAGAAGAGGAGGAGGAAGAAGAGGACGCAAATGAGGAAAAGCTTGGTAGGTAAACTAGATAATCTTCAATGATGTTCTCCCTGAAAAAATAAACCAGCAGGATTGGCAGATACGGAATCAAGCCAAAAGTCAGAAAGGAGACTGATTTTTTTTTTTTTTCATTTTATTTTCTTTTTTTATTTCCCATTGAAGAGAAGCAGAAAAGTGATGCTGATCTAGGAAGTGCTAGTCAAGAGGAGGAAGAAGAGGAGGAGGAAGAAGACAGGAAACCTGCATCAGAGGTGAGAGTGCTTAATCTTTGAAGGAAGCTTGTGCACTTTCTTTCATATGTTATGTAGAACAGGCCTTACTACGGTGTTAAAAGTGAACCTGGCTCATGTGACCCTCCCTCCCAGTTCAGAACTTTGGAAAACTTGATCACCCTGAAGAATAGAAATTGCTGTGGCTAACTACAGCATTCTAGGGCACCCTGCTAAAAGGCTCTGCTGTAGAGTCTGCCTTGAGATTAGTGTGACTGTTGGAAGGCATCTTCTTGAGGCAAAAGGCTTATTCAGCTTCGAGTGCAGTCAGGATGTGACCTGAAGTGTTCCACACTGACACAAGGGTTGGCTCAAAAATGGGTGGAGTGTTGCTTGAAGTTAAAGGATTCTCCCAACAGCAGAAGCTGTTGAGCACTTCCAGCAAGTAGTGTACATCCACTGTGAAAACAAAGAATTTGCTTGTTTGCCACAAACTGCTTTCAGCAGTCGGTCCTTTCAAAATTTAAAATCTAAAGTAGAAGTGAAAGTGGATTATTTGTCATAGATGTTTTTGTCTCAAAATGGTTATTAAAGGTATATTTAGGTTTTGTTTTATTGATGTTTACACAAATTACTTTCTTGCAGGAGGAGGAAACTGTGAATAGATCACCCAGAAACAGAAAGCCAAGGAAAGATTGAAAAAAGTCATAAGAACTTGATCTGTGATTTCTTATTTTTGTTTGTTTTTGGGTTTTTTTTTTGTTGTTGTTTTCAAACATGGTTCTGCAAGAGGACCTTGGACACCTTACATTGAAACTTGGAGAAACCTCAAGATTTCACCATCCACAGGTTCCAGTCACACTATCCAATGTAATGGAGTGTCTAGCAGTAAAATATTTGCAATCATCTGTTTTTAAGAGTATCATTCCTGTAGAAAGAAAGCATTTAATGGGCTGTGGATTTTGGAATGTAACATAACTAACCTTTTCATTTTTGGTTTTAAATATTCTTTTCTGTTCTTGAGTAGATTGGTAGAATTTTTCCAGTCTCGAACCTTGGCTTAATTTAATATATTAATTAGTGAAATATAACAATGAATCTTGAAAGTGCTAGGTGATAAAAATGCAGTTTTATAACTAGTTTTTTTTACAAATATGTAAATTCCTAAATGCACCATTGTCTTTATACCCCTTAAAATCTGGTAATTGTTCGAAGGAAAGTTGTCAATGCATTTGACAACATCCCTACCCTCCAAACTAAAAACAACTCGGGGGGATGTATGGGGAAACCAGTAGTGAAACTCTAACCAATCAACCTCATCCTTTTGGGGGAAGGGGAAAGATGAAGAAGGGGTGGAAGGACATGGTTAGTCAGTCCACAGAATATATGCATACTATTCATGGCTAAAGCCCTGTTAAATGTTGACAAATTATCTAGGACTTGGAGTGGGTCATCTCAGTGTGACATTTAATCCTGCGGAGCTTGCAGGCAACCAATTTTATTTGCTCTTGAACTCTCTTTGTAAAGCTGAGGGTTGCTGGAGAGGTGTGGTTATGCTACTTCCCCCTTTGCCCTCTGTTCAGCCACCCGTGTTTTTCTCTCTGTGACGATACAGCTCTTCCTGAGAGCAGCTTTGCCTCAGTTGCTGAAGCACTTCATGTTCAGCTCATTGTCAAACTCAATTTCATAGCTAGGCCTGCTCCTTTCCAGGGTCCAAACACTGAATAAGACGGTATCCCATATCCTCTCACTGTTGTCACTGTATGTCTGCTGTAGAAATGGGGGAGGTAGGCAGGTAGACAAGTTGAACTGAGTATTTGTTAAGGAAAAAAAAAAAAAACCCACAACCAAGATGTCAGTATTGTAGGTGGGGAAGGGGCTTGTGGAATCTCTTAACTGGTATGTGAAACTGTTTTAAGTCCTTTTATCTGCTCTTCATGTAACAAGTGCATTCTAAATTATATTGTAAATGTTAGGAAATTCCAATTTCAGCTGAATAAATTTTTTTAAAGTGTTGAATCTACCATACCACACTGTTTCAAACACCTCTTTTTTGTGGAATGCAGGTGAGCACTACAAGAGTATTACCTCTGAGGGTGAGATGGATGTAATTCATTACACTGTACCAAATATGTTGGCATTTGGATGTCTATATAGATAAACTTTCGCCTTTGTTTAGAATGAAACTAAATATCCTGAAATTATTCTTCTTGCACTGAACTTTAACACTCCAGTGTTGTTTGGTCACATGATAGGTATAGTGTGGAATAATTCCCAGGGGTTGTGGGGGGAAAAGTGTTCCAATTACCTTGCAAACAATCTAACCAATTACTAAAAGACTCTTGTTTTGGGTTGGTTTTTTTTTGGTTTTTTTTTTTTTTTTGTAAAACACCTTTTGCTGCCTGTCCTTATGTTGTATCTCTTGGTTGTTGTGTTTGAAATATTAGTGATCACAAATGCATAGCAGGATTTCTTGGTCTCTCTGCAGTGTACAAATAAACTATTGTAAGCAAGATATTGGAAGTAATTTCGGACTTCTGTTGGGAGCTATTGCATGTTTAGAATGCCTTTGCCTGTTGAACACCTGGTCAATACTGCTCCTTATTGCAAAAATAGCTTATACTCTGACATGGAAGATGTCATAGCTTAAGCATTGCTACTAGCTTGTTCTCAGGACTGTATTTTTATCAAGGAGCAGCTGCTATTTATGACTCTCAGTCCTTTGAGATGAAGTATGTATAAATGGTTTCAATTCAGCTAATGTTTTGAGCACAACATAAAAATCTAATTAATCTAATGTTTTTTTATCTTAATATGCAAATTGCCTTAAACTCCCAAACAATCCCTGTGCATACATGTTCTTTCAAAGCATCAAAAGTGAACTTGAGATCTGCTATCAGCTTTTAAATAGCATTATATTAAAGCTAATTGTAAATCTACATTTGCTTCTGCTAAATCTCCTGAAAAAGTCTCCTGTCTGCATGTTACGGCTTTTTTTGATACCATAGTGTATGCTTTAAATAATCACTACAATAAATGAAGACTTTCCGAAATGGATAGACAACTCAAGTTACTTTTTATCCTGCTTTTTGGCTTGGGTGCCTCAGTTTGACCTTAGAATTGCTCTTACTTTTAAAGTCTTAGAGGAAAAAAATATAGCTACCTGCTTATCCTGAATGCATAAAGCATAGCTGTGTTTTTTAGAGTAGTGAAACTCCACCTGGCTGTAACCTGTGAACTGTGTTTGGAACGGTCACAGATTCTTGAAGGTGTATTTGGGCCTTTTGTGTCTGTGCAGCCAAGGATGGCAGCTCCTGAAAAGGATGCTGAGCTTGATGTGCTGTGTCTGAGAGTGGGGAGGGGTGTGTTAGGCTGACATGGTGAATCAAAAGAAAACCCGTGGCCTCTGACACACAAGGCACAAGTGCTGAGAGCGGCTTTGCCCCTGGAGCCAGTGGGTGGCAGGGGTGGTTGATAGGTCAGGGTGCATCTAACCCACTAACCCCTTCCAGCAGTGTCCCTGGATGTGATCTACCTTCACTGGCTCTGCTCAGTACTGAATTGTCACAGCTTGAGGCTGTGACCTCTCCAATGTGTTAAAGCAGACATTTGTAAGATAGACTCCTGGGCCTGAAGATGGTTTCTTGCAAGTACTGACTATTTGTACATGTCCATGATTTTCTCTTGCTCTTTCCTTACTCCTCCCTCACGAACTCGGCTCCTCCACTGGGGCTGTGGGTACAGACGTAGGGCTTGTGACTGCTCTGCTCCTCCCAATCTGATGGTTCATACCCTTCTTGCCTTGTGGTTTGTAGAAGGGGTTTTTGGTTTATTGGGGTTTTGTTTTGTTTTGTTTTTAATTGTTGCTTGACACAACTACTGTGATTTCATGTCCATTGCAAACAGGTACTTGTAGAAGCAACTTGAAAAAAAAAATGTAAAAACTAATCAATAAAGAAACTTAAATCTGTTCGGCTTTCTTTGTCTAATTAGCAAAGCTGGATCAGACTTCATCAGGTTGAGGGTGAGGTGAGCCGTGCCTCTTGCAGTTTTTTGCTACTCCAGAGCGCTGTGAGCTCGCGGCTGTGCAGGGCAGAGCGGTGTCTGCAGCGGTGCCTGGGGCGCTCCTGCTGCCCGCCCCTCTCTGTCAATCACCCGCGGCTCCGCCTTCCGGCTCTTCTGATTGGTTGTGCAGCGATCGCCCCGCCCCTCCCCTACCTGTTCCTTTAAACCGCCCCGAGCGCCGCCTCCAGCTCGCCTCCGCTGCTTAATTCGCGCCTCCGCGCCCTCCTATTGGTCGGGAGGGGCGTCGGTCACGGCTCGTGACGCGCCGCGCGCCGTGACGTACCCCCCCACCCAGGAAGCTCCGCCCATTTATTCTCAACTCGGCTCTGGAGGGGAAAAACAATTTCAAGATGGCGGCGGCGCGGACAACAATGGGGGGCCAGGGGTCCGGGCCGGCCCGCGCCTGAGGGCGGCGGCGGAGGGAGCGCGGCGGGCTCCGCCGGGCCTCTCGGGGCGGGCAGGGCTGAGGGAGAGCAGGGCAGCGGAGCGGCGCCGGGCTCGGGGCAGAAGGAGGAAGTGGGGCGGGGGGGAGAGGAGCGGGCGCCGGGCCGGGTGGTGGAAAGACCCGGGGCGATCCCGGCGGGGAGCGCAGGTAAGGCCGGCAGGAGGGGCGGCGGAGGCCCCGCCATGGTGGGCGCCGGAGCGAGCAGCCGGTAGAGCGGCGGCGGCCGCCCCTTCGCCGTCCGGCCCATGGTGCTCCCCCCTTGCCCCATGGCGGAGTTCGTGGTGCCGCGGCACAGCGCGGTGATGGAGCGGCTCCGCCGGCGCATCGAGCTCTGCCGGCGGCACCACAGTGCCTGCGAATCCCGCTACCAGGCCGTGTCTCCGGAGCGGCTGGAGCTAGAGCGCCAGCAAACCTTCGCCCTGCACCAGCGCTGCCTGCAGGCCAAGGCCAAGCGGGCCGGCAAACACCGGCAGCCGCCCCCGGCGCCGCCGCCGCCCGCGCCCCCTCCGCCCGTCGCCGCCGCGGGGAGCGCCGAGAGGAGCGGAGCCAACGGGCTGGACGGCGAGGCGGCGAGCGGAGAGCAGCAGCACGGCCGCAGCAGCGCCCTGATCGCGGTAAGCGCCGCCCGGGGCCGGGTGCTGGGGCCGGGGAGGGACCGGCGGTCGTGCCCGGCTGGCACCGGCACCTCTCGTCTGGAGCTGGACGGGGGAAGGAAAACAGGCTGTCGCGGCTGGTGTGGGGGCCTGCGGTGCGAGGGCTGGGCTTGGGGCTGCTTTGCAGAGTACCCTGTCTGCTGTGTTACAACTTCGCAGGCGATATGGGCTGTTTTGTTTTCACTCGTCACCTCTGCACGCTGGAAGAGTACATAAAAACTGCGGCATGGTGGGGTAGGGATAGTGGCAGGATTTCTGTGATGCTTAAATAATTCAGAGTATTTTGTGAATCATATTTCTGGCTAATTCACCTAAAATACCCCTGCAGAAACTGTCAGAAGGACATTAATACTGCGATGCCTTTGGATTTTTATTTGTTTGCTTAAGTCTTTAATTTGGGGTGTTAGGGTTTTGTGGAGTCATTTGATAAGAATACGCTTATTACTGGGGTCAGTTTTAAGACAATGTGTCTGTTAGTTCTGGTACATATTGGAAAGAATTTCAGTGGAAAGGCAGCTGCTTGTTTGCCACTCACTCTAGTGGGTGTGAACACTATGAGAATCCCACTCCACCCATTAAAAACTGGCTTAGCTCAAAATCTTAATGTTTCTCTGGCTTCTCTAGCATTTCTGGTTGTCGGGACATATTCACATGGCCCTGTTTGTATATCAAGATAGCTATTGCTTAACTTATTCTGGGCCCTTTAAATATACTGCCATGTGCTAATGTGTCAGTAATGTAGGTTAGTAGGATAACCTCTTAAAGGCTGCCTGTCCTAATACCTGTCTGCCTTAAAACCAGGTATTTTTAAATGGTGGCCTGCATGAAAATGATTCAGTACTACTCTGAGTACTCTGAGTAGTACTGAGAGTCCCCTTTAAAAGGGGACACTGGATTAAACTGAGATATTTCCAGGTTAATATATAGAATAAATAGAATTTTTAGGGTGCTCTGTATATTTGATTGGATTAGAAAGGAAGAAGGATATACTTCTCTCTGTCTTGGACCTATTTTTAAAAGAGAATCTTGATAGAGGTTATTGTATACTTGAGTGTCCAGGACATAATGTGAAATATTGAAACACAGGGTTTATCAATGTCGTCTTTACTGTGACCAGCACTAGGCAGCCTGGGTGCAGTCTGTAGTATTTACAAGATGAACTGAAAGTGTTACTTACCTGAATTGTTCCTGGTTTTGTTAATACACCTATGAGACTCGAGGACTTGCTGACTCTTAAGAAGACTGAGGTCCTTGTGACACAATTAGAGCACTTCAGAGGACTGCTACAGAAGGGTACTTGAGGAAGAGAGGAAATCTTGTGCATTCCTGAAACTGATTCTACAAAATTTTACAGTTAGCTGTTGTTTAGCAGACTGATCTTGAATGTAAACTTGTGTAAAAACAAAAATTGCTCAAACTTGTTTTTTATTATATAAAATCTTGGTGGGGGTTCTGTTTATTTCCTGCTGGGCTCTCGGGCTTTTTGCATATGGAGCTCTACCCCATAATAATGTGTATTTTAATTACACTCAGGGCTTTTTAGCATGTCAAATCCTGTTGCTTAAACTGCCACCACACGACTTCATATTGATCTTCTAAAAGAAAGATGTCTAATTCATTGGTGTTGTTTCTCTGAAATCACTTTGGATGTGGATTTGATCTAATTAGCATCCATTATAATGAGAGCTCTCAACAGCAGCAGGTTCTGAAGTGCACTGCACATCTGGGGAAGCCCTTGTACAGGAAGCTGCTGCCAGTGGCCAATTTACACAACAGAAGAGGGCTTTAGTGTATGAATGACTCTTCCTCTGCTGGCCTGCTGTTTCTTTCCTAGGATCCATGACTGTGAGCTTAATTGCAGCTGCTGATTCATCACCTCGTTACTGGGGTATAAAGTTGGTTTGCTTAGTAATTCAAGTCTTGGAAAAAAACACAACAACAACAACAACACCTCTGCTGCTAATTTAATTCCTCTGGCCCAGAAGGTCCCTCTCTAGGTTGGTACTTTACCTCTGCCCGTCATGTTGGCCATTATAAAGACCAAGCATGTACTTTGACTGGGAAAGACGTGGGCTTGATTTCCAGTGTTCAGTAAAGTTTGGATGAACACCAGAATTATCTTTTAAAACATCCTGGACACATTCCTTTCCAAAGAATGCTGCTAGCTCAGTGCAACATGCATTATATCAGCATGTTACAGTTGCTGCTGTAACAGTCCAGATTTTTCTGTGAAGCTGCCTATGAATCTGCTTTTGGAAATCAGTACTCTATGTTGACCATTATTGAAGCATTTATTTTGGTCCCTGAAGGAGAGAGCAGTTCATGTAATGGTGAAGGCTTTTGTGAGGTCTTGTATAGTAGTAGGATGTGAAGCTGCCTTGCCCCAAGTCTTGACAGTGTGGGCACTGTCAGGTGCTGTGCTGCAGAACACCTTCTGTAAATCCACAGTGGTCACAGGGAACAGGGTTGGTACCACCACTTCCTCCTTAATGTCTCCTATAACTTGTTACGTGGACAAAATCAGATATTTTCTCTTCCATTAGTCTTTCCATCCTGAAGTTGGATGGATCTTGCTTACAGAAACTGAGAATACAGTATTGATACAGAAATACCTTGTATTATTTGTGCATCATGTAGACCTGTCCTTCATTTGAGGAAAATGTTGAAAAACCTTCTAGCTTCCTATTTCTAAAAAAACTTCCAGATCACTATTTAATGGGAAATCCAAATGTTGGCATCTGCTTCCCATTTCTGTTGTTTAACATGATATTATTAAGGCTGTGTTCAAAGTAGAAGATACTTGATGTTTGGATAATACATTTGCTGTGCTAATCTTACATTTTTTGAGAAACAGGGAAGTTGGGAAGATATGGGGCTTGTCTCCTAGAAGATTTTTTTTCTGTGCCAGGTTCTGATACATGAAAGTTCATCCAATAATGCTGTTTAAATTCTCTGCAAGAGAAAGGTTGGCTTCCTTACATTTCTGTGATAGACTGTGAGGCAGTGTATGGCTGACCTGAGCAGAAGGTGTTTCACTGACATGTGGATGAGGAGAATGGCAAGATCTGGATTTTCACCTCCACTCCTTGTTTTATGATGTGGTGTCTTGGAAGGAGAGCTGCTCCCTGTTTCTTGCTGGGTTTTTTTCCCCACCTGAGAGCAGTTGTTGTGCAGAGAGCTTGCTTTGTCTAGGACTGCCACAAAACCACAAACAGTATTTCTGGAATGAGCACAGAAGGTCTAGTCAGTGGCCCGTCTTGAGAATGGTTTGTGTTAAAGCTGTAGAGCAGCATTTATTTGGGAGTGATAGATGTTTTACATTAATATTAGTTAAATACTAAATTAAGCAAAGGCACCAAGTAAAGGGTTTTAAACTAAATTTAAGTCCAAGGACAGCAATGCAGTGTTTCTTCGCTGAAACACTTAAAGTAATAAATTAAAAGGAATAGATTGTCCATAGTGTACTGACAAGTGTTAATGATGTTCCTCTAACGAAGTTCAGGCTGGTACTCTAGCAGTTCAGAAGACCTTGTTTTTCTGTAAGCTGTGGTATGAGGGTGTTAAATTGTGAAATTATGTTTTACCACAAAAATAGCAAATTATTTACATGTTATTTATATATAGCTATGGTAAAGTGTAGTCTTGCCACCATTGTTTGTTTTCGCTGACAAGTCTGATAGTTTGTTGCCCAACAACTCAGACAGGTTTTTCTTTGTCTCCTTTTAATTCTCTGTGAGGTATTGTTTTATGTTTGAAACATTTCCCTTACTAGATTAGTTAGATATGCAGTGATGCTTCCTAAGTTGTAAGGATCTGGGAGTGACAGAGCTGCTGCTGCTGTTTAAGTTCAAGTGAGGTGGAGGATCCGGCATTGCAGCTGAAGGCACAGGAGTTTTTTTGATTCAGCAGAACAATTCCTGTAGCAGAAGCTGCCCCTTGTGACTAATGCAGGCTTGGGATATTTATAGACATGCCTATCCACAGCCCTTCTTCACTCCAGCAGGCAGTCACCCAAATACAAAAGTCTGCTGGAATTAAAGTAAAAATTAAAATGAGTCCGGCAGTTTAGTTCTGACAGCACGGTGGAATGCAGGAGCACATTGGGTAATAAAATGCTTTCCTTGCAGGGGGAATGCAACTTTGGAAGCTGAGGGTAGATGCACAGTAAAGGGGGAGTTCTTACTATGGTGTGTAGTCAAAATGTTATGTTTTCTATCCAAAATTCATACACTACAATGTCTGGTATTTGCACTGTTATTCCAGCTTAAGGAGTTGTCATCTTTGTTGCTGCTGTTCTTGGCGAGACAGGAGAGGAGAATCAGTGTCTGTAGAGCACCTCCTGTGAACTCTGGTACATTGGAGCTTTATCTGTGCTGCAATACTGCCACTTCTATGGCAGAAAAATGGATGTTTTCTGATTTGGCTTCCCCTTCTGTGTGAGAATGCTAGGAGCCGTATTGGAGCTAGGCTTTTATTATGCTTATAGTCTAATATAGCATTTCTTCTTTGAAAATATCCAGCATTATGTTTCTCTTGCTGGTATATCAGGGCAAATGCTTGTAGACTTAATTCAGACATTGAAATGGTAAACTAATTTGAAATAAAATACAAAAAATTAAAGCTCTATTGAATCCTTAATTCAGGAATATTTAAATCTCTATTATAGATGCTTTAAAAAGCTAAATAAGAACATTTTACAGAGCCTTAAAGGCACAGTATGAGTACTGGGTTTTTGAGAATTTTCTGCCATGTTCACAAGGTGGTTTGTTGGGGTTTTTTTAATGAAACCTGCATACAGTTTGTGTTTTTATACATATGTATGTATTTACCATCTTCACAGGACTCAAAATATAGCAAAGTACTGGATTTTTGCAAAAGGACTTTAGCTGACTGTCCTCAGTTTAGCTGTTCTTCATGGTAAAGGGTTTCTTGCTTTCAAGCAAACAGTGTGAACTAATTTTCATGCCTGTTAAGTTCTAACACATTGAAATGTCATTGGTTTCAGATGATTATCTAAATCTAGTTTCAGGTATTAAGTCCACACCAAAATAGCCAACACCAAACAAACAAAAAAACCCGAACAAAAAACCCAACACAACTAATCAGAACAACTTTGTACCACTGTTTTATCAGCCGTTCCTGCCCCTTCCCACCAAAGCAGTAAGAGAACACTGGCCTCTGAAGTTTTGAACTCTGCCAGTGCTAACAGACAAGCAATATATTAAGTTTTCAAGCTTTTCTGGCTTCTTGTTTGGCTTCTGTAGTAGTTTTTGGACAGCTTTTACAGAGTCAGTCAATTTGCCCTTGCAGTGAGACCACAGTAGGGCTGAGCATCATTGTGGTAAAACTGGTGGGTTTAAGACAGAGATTGAATATCTCAAAATGCTTTGTGTGCTCTCCATTTTCTGCTGGAAGCTTTGTCATTTGCCTGGGCATGCATCCATCTCTGGTATTGCAGCCTGAGTCCTTGTCAGCGTGAGTTACAGGGCCAGAAGCTGCTGTGCTGGACACCTTTTGTTGTCATGGATGGCACCTGGGTTTTGTCAGCTTGTGTTCTGTGCATGAGGAATGCACAGTTGGGCATGTGTGCTCCTGCCAAGGAAGTGTTTATGACCACATTGAGGACTGTGTGTTCTGCTCACGTGAATAAAATGCAGCTCAAGTGATGTGATGTGGAGGAGGTGCAGCCTGTGGCCCCCTCAGTGGCTCTTTGACAAATTCTCTGTTGTGTCCTGGGCCAAAGGACTGAAGCCAGCTCACATCCTCTGCCTTGCACTTGTTCCTATATTGGTATAAATACTTCAGATAAATGGTTTTGGGATGATATTTTTAGGCATAGCTAGATAGCAGTGATCTCAGAAGTTCATCTTTTGTTGAAAAATTGAATAGGCTGAGAAAATGAGAAGACACTTCTGTATCTGATCTTGTTACAGTGGAAATGATTGGCTCAGTGTTACAAATAAAGTTGATTGATTCTGCTAAGGAGACCATGGACAGCGTACTGGAGGAACACTCTGCCTTACAGGATGGTAATGCAAGAAAATTAAAGCTGAAGGGGTTGTCTTAGTGAGTAGCAAGCTATGCTTTACTTCATCCTTGTCTTGGTTGGTTTTTTCCTTGAGTTTTGGCAGAAGAGAACAGGTTTTTCTTGCCTTGAGAACTCTCTTGGAGAAGCTTGATATGTAGATAGCTTGCAGTCTGACTTGTATCTCACATGCAGCTTGTTATTTTCCCCCTCAGACCAGATTATTTGGATAGACACAGACAAACTGGGGAGGAACTTAATCCCTTTTTTTGACAAAGGAATACAGTTTTAGGTGAAAGGAGGATTTTGTCTCGAGCAACTTACAGTCAAAATGTCTCCAAGGATCAGATATCTGAGTGTTATGACTGTTAAAACCCATGGAGATATGAGAGTTCCTGTGCTGCATATTAGGGGTCTATATCTTTTTCTAGACTGCAGTGAGTGTAGCTCACAAAAAAAAAAAAGTCATTATTTTGATGTAAGTTTTCAGGGAGTGGGTTTTTTCCCTAACTTTGGAATTAAGGAGGATCCATTCCCAAACTTTGAGTAATTTGACTCATCATATAACCTTGGGCAAGTTACTCATCCACCTTGAGCTTCAGATTTCCCAGTGGGAGTATGAAGTAAACAATGGGAAATGCTGAAAGCCAAATGTTGTGATGGGGTTGAGCTTTTCTGCTCTCTGATGTTTTGCCTTTTTACAAAAAAGTAAATTTCCGTTATTCTTTCAAGTTGGTATTTGAAAAATTCACTAGAGAGCTGCTACTCCAAGCTGAAGACCTGATGTTCAGATTAAGAGATTTCAAGTTCCAGCCTCCTCTCCAAATGTACACCTCACCTCACCCTATTCAGTCTTCTGCTGATCTTGCTACTCTGCTATTTCCATGAGCTATCTAGAAGAGCACAGTCTCCAGGGAAGCTGGTGTCTGTCTCTCAGATAAAAATAAGGTTTTGCTGTTACCTATGCAAGCATTAAAAAAATAGTGGTTTTTTTTTTTAGCTGTTACCTCTGCAGGAATTAAACAGATGGTGGTCTGGAGTTTCATTCCCTCCAGAGATCAGCTCACTGTAGACAGTTCAAAAAAAAAACAACCAGAAACAATTAACTGTGATCCAGTCCTTCTGTCTGTAAGTCAAAGAATGCTGTTGCTCAGGCAAGTGTGTAAAATTCTTCTGATAATTTATGCTGGCCCTACATACAGCCTCTTGCTTGAATGATGAGATCTTGAGGTTTCCTGTTTTTCCTTGGATGAGAGTTTTCCCCAGAGGTTAGTGGACTGCCTTGTGAAGACTGCAGGTAATATGAAAAGAAGCATACTTGTCTTAAGGTTTGTTTAATGAGCTGCTTCCTGCCATCTGAGAGGGCTGTTGTTCAGTGACCCCACACCTCAGATGGGTGGCTCTTGGTGGGGATTCCTGTCGGGTGTCCTGCTGAGATGTACCAGGTCAGGAGCTGATGGCAGTTCGCTCTTTAAGCTCCTTATGCTGTTGGAGCAGTGTCTCTGCCCTGCAGGTTTGTCTGCGTTGGTGGAGCGTTCCAGCACCAACAAAGCTCAGAATTTTTACAGAATGCTCCTGAGGGAAGGAAAAGTTTATAGACACCTTTGATGTGTGCAAAAATTCTGTTTTCAAATGCTTTTGAGGTCAATAGAAAGAACTTTATATTTGCAAGAGTGCTGGCAGGAAGAAGAAGTTGAACAAAGGCTCTCTGGCTGTGAGGGTGCTGCTGTAGCTGCTGGTCGCTTCTAGGTGGCACCACGAGAAAGAGAATCTGTGCCTTTGCCATCTGTGAGAAGCCAACTGGGGAGCTGCTTGGGGCTCTGGTGGTCAGAGCAGCTGCAAATACTTCAGGAGAAAGGAGAAAAGGAATGAGCTTGCTCTGCTGTGATAGAACTGGCTGAACTCTGAATTGCATTTTCCACAAGTGTGAAGCAGTGGTCGCTAAGTGACAAATTGGTTTTGCTTCAGTGCCAAAAGTGTGATTGTGTACAAAATTTATATACATAGTTCTTCTCTAAAAGTTATTATCACAAGAGAATTACGTGTTTTTTCTAAATATTTAAATGTGAGACTGCTTTATAAGTATTTAAATATGAGAATTTTATCAATCAACTTCATGGAACAATTATACTGTGTGTGTACATAGATAAATACAGGTTTTTATTCTCATGTAAAATTTGATTCTTAACATTCTTTAAAATTTTTCTCATTTTGAATAGGAAAAATCACAACATATTCCAGTTCACAGCCATTTTTCAACTTTTTGTTGTTGTCAGAGTGTATGGCAGCTTTTAGCTTCATGTGAAGGAGGGGGTCTCTGTTTGAAGTAGTACATGTTTTTTGAAAAATTTCCCTAAGAGACTGTAGTGAGGAAGTAATCTCATGTGCTGACTTGTAAGACAAAATGTTACCAAAACAAAGGTGCAGCCTTTGATTTTTTTTCTGAAATGTTTTATTCAGAGCAAGACAATGTTCTGGTAAGAAATAAAAAGTCCAGATCTGTGTAGCATAGTACTACACAACTAAAATATTCCTCTTCTTTTTCAGCAGCTCCATGAGACTGTGAAAAGAAAGCTTGATAGTGCTGCTTCCCCTCAGAATGGAGACCAGCAGAATGGCTATGGTGATGTGTTTTCTGTGTCCAAGAAACTGCGTCGTGAGGATGGTTTGGGAGTGAGTGGTTCTTCCAATGGAATGCCCCCTGTGTCTCCACTCCATCATCTAGACAAGAAATCTGCTACTGGTGATACCTTACAACTTAATGGGAAGCATCCAATGGGGCTTGATGGCATCAGCAAGAAGTGTCTTCCAGATTCCAGCCTGCAGTTGAATGGAGGTGGTGATGCTGATGATTCATTTCCTTTGAGTTTGAACAAAGAGCTGAAGCAGGAGCCTGTAGATGAGCTTCCCTGTATGAATCCTGTAGCAGGGGGTTCTATATCTCAGAATAACCTGATGCCTGATCTTAATCTAAATGAGCAAGAATGGAAGGAACTTATTGAGGAGCTCAATAGATCAGTGCCCGATGAAGATATGAAGGATCTCTTTAATGACGACTTTGAAGACAAAAAAGATGCAGATTCTTCAAATTCAGCTGCACAGACTCCATTGCCACAAGATATTAACATAAAGACTGAGTTTTCCCCAGCCCCCTTTGAACAAGAACAGCTGGGATCTACCCAGGTTAGATCCACTTCTTCAGGTTCAGCATTTATTGGCGCTGCTTCTGTACCTGTAAGTGCCGCTTCTACAACGGTTGGTAGTTCTCAGGCTATGTTCCAGTCTTCCAGTCAGTCAATGACTGAAAATCCTAATCAGCCCATGATGCAGGCATCAAACCACTCTCAGAACGTCCAGAGGCCTGTGTTGTTACCTGGGAAGTGTGCAGGAAGTGCCAAAGAAATGTCTTCTGCTCATCAACTTCAGCAGATTGCTGCCAAGCAGAAGAGAGATCAGATGCTGCAGACCCAGCAACAAGCTTCTCAAGTCCACCAAACAAATCAGATGTCAACGTGGCAACAGTCTGGGTCTTCCCATAGTCCACTGGCTGTCCCATATACCATGGAAAATCCTACTAGCCCATCGGTTTATCAGCCAGACTTCAACAGTCAGAAACTCATGATGCCTAATTTGGGAAATAAAAGCTCACCGAGAGCTGGAGGCAATTATCACGTGAACATTTTGGGTCATCAGCAAAACAGCTTGAACCAGAACCCTGTGAATAGTCAAGGCTCTATACTAGACTACGGGAACACCAAACCTCTTTCCCATTACAAAGCAGAATGTGAGCAGGGGGTGGCAGTGCCTGGGCAGAACAAGACTCCTATGCTGGCATACATCCAGCAGCGCCAGCAGCCACCACTGTCCCATGTAGGTGACGACCAAAATGGGATGATCCTGCTGAAGCCCAAGTCTGGAAACATTGCCTACCGGCTGCCACATGGTCAGGTGAATGTCCTGAATTACCTTTGCTCAGTAGCAGATTTAAGGTTGTTGGGTAGGTAAGGCTGGAGTGCAGATTCCTTGGTATAGTTTCAAATGTTTTCATTGATTTTAAAGGGAAAAATCTTATGTACAAGAATCTTAGACAACAATCATGAGGTTTTTTCCACTGGGGACAGTTTTTAATACAGGGTTCTAGGTCATGTAACATGTGATTTCCAGCTTAATATACTTTGTGGGCAACAAATTATGTCGTGCTTCACAGAAGCTTCTACTTACAAAGATAAATAGATGCTTTGTAAACTTTTGACTAAAATAACTCATATAAAACTGTAGTGTTACACAGTGTTCTCAAAGAAGCTTTGATTTCTTTACCTTGTTTTTAGTCCCAACTTGTGTCAGAGTTGGCTTACTATTAAAAGACCTACTTTTGCAGAGAGGTGGAAGTGGGGGCTGCATTCCTGATTTCTTGGGTGTTCCATGGAGCCTTTCAGTTCTATGGATTTTATTGGTTAAGTCTCTGGGCATTGGGGAAGCATGGCTTAGGAGAGAAATATATCATTAAGAATGAATAATGGTAATGTTTGTTTGCTTGAAGCATATGCTTCAGGTTTTCCTGTAACAGAAAATTCCAGATGCTGTTCCTTTGCCTTGTATAGAACTGTTACTACAGGTATGCTGCAGGTGAAAATTTCTGTAGTGGGTGGAACTGTGGACTCATTTGGATTCTGTAACATGTACCTGCAATGTATGTATAAGAGGGCTTGTTGAAAAAAAAGGTATTTGTTACAAAGATTAAAGTTCCTCCACCAAAAGCTGTTTGAGATCCAACTCTAGTCATGTTCCCTCAACAAAACAGAAAACCTGTGAAAAAGCTCTGATTAGTCTGTGCTAAAGACCACACCGGTGTACAAATAGAAATATGAGATCAATGTGTGCTTCATAAAAAAATGGAAGTCTTTGAAAGCTGGTAGAAGTAACAGTCTAACAGCATTTTGATGGAAAAAGAAGGGTAGAGACGATTGTGTGTGTTGCATCTCTCCCACTGAAAAACATGAGGGTGACCACATCTACACTGCCATACTTACACTGAACTAACAGAAATACTGATGAAAGCTTTGGGAGAATTTCTCAAAAGCTTGCACACAGAACAACTTTGCACAGCATTCCTTATATTTGGCTTGTGATTCCTTATGAAACAAAGTGAGAACCAACAGCCGAACCCATTAGCTGAATGTTTAACTCGAATATAACGTTTGTGTAATTAGAGATGAGGCTGAACTGTGCTTTAAAATTATGAGAACTGTCAAATTTCAAAGGCATTTGCTGGTACTAAGAGGGCAGTATCAGATCTTGAATGATAATTGTTCCATGTTATGTTTGCTTATCCCAAGTTCCAGTCTCATAAAAATGCCAAAAATTGCAGATTCAAGAAAAACTAATAACATCAGACTTATCTCTAGTAGTGTTTTTGTCTGTGGTGTATGGTGATGGTTGGATTGCTGGAAAAATACCTTAAGACCCATTTTGACCAGTGGAAGCCTTCTCCTCTTCACCTGCAAATAGTAAATTCTCTGATATTAAAAAAAGCAACTTTAGGATGGGAGACACCAACACCTGCAGAATTAAATGTTGACAGAACAGGCAGGATTTAAATAAATGCTTTGAATAATGAAAATATAACATGTAGTGTTTGAAAAACTGCTACCAAAGTATACTGAATCTGGGGTGTTTGAAGTACACTTTGTAGCTACCTGAAAAAAAGCACAAGAGCTATGCTCACCTCTTTGAGCTGGCAATTGGGAAGTACTTTGAAGTTAAACCCCGTATTCCTAAACTTTGTGGAGCTTCTGACCCTAACTCCAAACAGGCAGTTCTATGTCTGGCACTGTATAGATGGGTGTTTGGCTGTCTTTAATTAGCTGAACTTCCATAAGAAGCTTCACAGGTGAAGAAGTTACTGCATTTCTGTAACTTTTTTCATTTTTCTTATGTTCTACAGGATCAGAGCCCTGCTCCTACTGTTGCTCGTGTTCCTGTTTCTGTCCCAGGCCCTGGGGTGGGTGCACAGGCTCCAAATGTCTCCATGGCAGGTAACCACAACAACTCAGCATATCAGCAGCAGGCAGCAGTGATGAAGCAGCACCAAATGCTGATGGACCAGCAGAAGCAGAGAGAGCAGCAACAAAAGCACTTACTCATGGAGCAACAGAAGCAGCAATTCCTAATGGAACAGAGGCAGCAGCATTTGCTGGCAGAGCAGGTGAGAGGGGCCAGCTTTTTTTTTTATTTGTGCTTCTTCGCTTTGGTGCATGAAATAGCATTTGATGTTTTAGAATCAGAGAATAGTTTGGTTGGGAAGGACCTCCAAAATCATCTCAGTTCCAACTCCTCTGCCTTGGGCAGGGACACCTTCCACTAGACCAGGCTGCTCCAAGCTCCATCCAACCATTTCCAGGGATGGGGCAGCCACAGCTTCTCTGGGCAATCTGTTCCAGTGCCTCACCACACTCACAGTAAATACTTTCTTCCTAATATCAAATCTGAACCTAACCTCCTCCAGATGGAGATCTTGGATTCCCCCTTGCTCTATCACTTCATACCCTTTTGAGACACCTTCCCCCTTCAACCTTTTTGTAAACCCCCTTTAAGTACTGAAAAGTGCTCTGAGGTCTCCCTGAATCAGCTGTTTTAAGAAAGAATGAAATGATAGAGTCTCCTCTGAACTGAAAATGTATGAAAGCCCATTTTGTGGGGAAGGTTGTAGTAGAATATGCAGGATTGTGGAGCTATGGTTGTGCCAAGTCCTAGCCAATGGCTCTTATATCACCTAGAGGCATTCTAATAAAATTCAGATCTCAATAAAGGTGACAGAAAAACACCCTCAGTTTTGGAGCCAGTGTAGACAAAACATAGTAATGTGGTTGGCAGTGTATGAGTGTTGGTAAAGATATGTTTTTGATATTTGGGTTAAAACAATTTGGACTAAGGGAATACTGTGGGGGAATTACATTATTAAAGACTGAAAGAAAATGCTCAAATCATCAATAAAATCACATCTCTATGAGTTATGTGATTTGTAAGCTTAGAATACTTTTTAGTAAGTCAGTCTTTGGTGACTTGTATATTAATACCAAATGTCAAAGATGAGTAATCATTACTCTGCAAAGTGTTAACAAAGCAGGTATTCTTTGAGAGCAGGTGGGGATAAAGGAAATACGGGGTGTGATCTGCTTGTGCTTTTCATGTCTGGTGGATGGTGATTGTTAGAGCTTTGTTAGAGCTCTTAGAGCTGTGGCCCAGTAGGTTTCCTTAGGACAACAATGGACCTAACAGGTGTCAGATCTCTCTGAACAGTGGGGAGGTGATAAGTAGCATATCACAAACACAGCACTGAAATATTTTTTCCTATCTATTTGCTTCTGCTTTGCCAGCACATGTTGCTGCAGTAAATACCAGTATCATGAAAATACTTCATTCATATCCTAGTTATGGTAACTACAACTACCTTCTGTAATTTCCATTTTTCTATAGTGTTACTGGGACTCTGGACCCAAATAATGAGTGGCTTTGCCTTGGAGCTGAACAGCTTTAGAGATACTGCATTTGCCACATTTATTTGCCTTGTGCTGCCTAGTCAAGCTAGGTCTTGTTAGCATTGCAATTTGATATTTATTTCTTTGGATACTCATGATACTGGATGCAGTTTTACAAGAAGATTTCTGAATCTGCTGATGTCTACTTTGCAGGAGACTTGCAGTTTCAAGTAGCTCCAGTGCCATTCCCTGCTGCTATAAATTTGTCTTTTCACTTGGCATTCTGCATATTTTTTATTTTTTTTTTCCCCAAGGCAGGTTCTGCGGTTTCTGGTTTCTCTCAGAGCTGTGGCATCTCTTGTTGGCTTCCGTGGTCAGCCTCTTTCAGGTCTGACTGGTCCTGCAAGCAGCAGGTCTTCTTGTCAAGCAGCGTGCCCTCTTCATTCCTGTGCATGTCTCAACAGCTTCGCAGCTGGAGACATTTGGGAAGGGTGGTAGTGATGTGTATCTCCTGTTTGTTACATTGCACCAGTCTCTTCTGTAAAGGCTTCTGGCTTGTGTCTTTACCCCAATACTCTTGGAAGGGAATTTCTGTCCCCTGCTATGCTCGGTGGAACTTTATGGATAAGTAGGTAGTTGTGCATTGTATCACTTCTGGGTTATGTCAGAGTTTCAGTCTGGCTGAAGGTATCTGAGGAAGAAGAGACTGAAATGCTGTGCCTGATACGTTTCATACCTTAAAAACAGCCAGTTGGCTGTTAACACTGTCAAAATCTGAGTCTACTGTCTACATCTACATTCCCCTCAAGACTTTAATTTTCCTCCAAAGTTTCCTAATAGAAAATTTGCTTGGTTTATTTTTCAAATGGTTTGATCATAAAATGGGCAAGGGCTGAATCTACTTTTATTTTAAAGAGGCACAATTATTTTGTGTCATGAGTAGGGTTTGTTTCAGTTGATCAGTGTGCTAAGACTTGCTAAGAAAGTGATTTGAAACAATGGTTGCAGAACTTGTATGACTTCTGTTATGGACTTAGTTCTGCAATTTTCCACAGTCTTCCAGGAAAAGCAGTGGTATATGAGAATATGGATTTGTACATATCTTTTCATGTTTGCAGCCAAGGACTAGAAAATATTTACATGTTAAATTTTTGATATTTCTGACTTGCACTTTTATTGCTTTCTAAAGAAGGGTCTAAAAATACATTGATTTGGAAATAAAGACCAAAGAAGTAAATGTGATTTTTTAAATTTTTTTTTTTAATACACTCACTTTTGCTCTTATTGTACCTGTACCTCTTTTTGTCTTTAGAGTGTTGCTAAAAATGCCTGTTGACTATGTTACTGATTAGGAGACTAACATCTCAGATTTTCAACCTTTGAAAGGCTTCACACATGCACAGCAGTAGCTCTTGCAGTGCATGCTGTTGTCTCTGAGATCCTGGTCTTGTCACTTATCAGATTAAACTGACTGTGTTTGAGCCTTGAGAACAAAGTCTGAAGTGACTTGTAGGGCTGCAGAAGCCCCTTTGATTACCAGGAGAAGTGTGCATAGAAGTATGCAGACAGCTTGTTTTTATCCAAGATACCCCCTGGAAAAAGCTTGATCTGTTTTCAAATTATCTTGCACTGGACCTTTCTTAGGAGAAACAGCGGCAGCAGGAGCAGCAGCTGCAGCGACATCTGACACGGCCTCCTCCTCAGTACCAGGATCAACCACAGAATCCATACCAGCAACAGGTTGGACAGTTCACAGGTCAGTAAACATGGCAATTGAAATAATATCAGAGAAAATACCAAGGAGTGAAAAACAAGGTGTCTTCAAATTTTCTGAATTGGATAGCTTTTAATTAATTTATTACACATCACTCTGCGTTAAAAGCTCTTGACCTATACTCTGATTCAGTTGCAAATTAACAGCTTCCCTGGTTGCAGGTATCTGGGACAACTTAATCTGAGTCTTAATGTTGTTTGGGAAATGAATAAAATTATTAAGTATTTCATTGTTCTGCAGGCCTTTCTAATACTTCTGTTTCATTGTGCAGGTTGGAAATTCTCTCTATCTTTGATATATTAAGATTAAGAGGTTTTTTTTCTGAAGTTTGACATCACTACAGCCTGTATCTATCACGGGCCCTCATTAAAGAAACATAAGTGGTGTATTATTTCTCTCATCTCTAGGATGAGTTTAAAAGTCTCTTAACGTTTTTGTCCCTGCTACCTTTAAAAGGGAATGCAGTTTGAATTCTCTTCATTACATGTTAAGTGTCCTGTGTGGGGTTTTCTGTATGAGAAGCAGCATAGTATGTCTGTAGTGTATTAATTCTGTTAAAAGGTGACATAACTGTTGAGCTGGAATTGCTTCAAAAATGTAGAAGAAGTAGGAAGCAATAAAAGCTCATCTTTTTCCTTAAAAGCTGTTACTTGATGGGGCATCAAGAATCCACTTGTCTTTCATAAACATAGGGTGTGAGAAAATTTCCCTTAGTCTTGTTTTCTTACTCGCCATGTTCCTGGAGAAATAAATAGTGTAGGGGGAAGATGCAAATGGAAATGCAATACCCTCAGCCTGACAGTGTTCATGCCTATTGCAGTGTCAAGTGCAGCTACAACTGGGTTTTGTTACTTAACTGAAAAAACTTGATGCCAATATAAAAGGCATCCCTGTGTGCTAACACAGGGATCAGTGGCATCCTTCAGATATTGCACTGAAATATTTTTTTTATCTTGCCACTTTTCTACAGAAAGATAGGCATACAACTGTTAGGAATAGAGTAGGTTTCAATAATTTTTTTAATAGTAATTTCATTACTATTAAAAATGTTTTTTCCTTGTAATGATGATTGTAACTATTTTTTACATCTTAAATCCTGATATGTGTGCTGTCTCTTCACTGTAAATATTGTCACAGGAAGATTCTTCTCCCACACATCCATTCCCTCAACACTGATGTTTTTATGATGTACTTTGTTGATAATTAATTCAGTATAATTTGAATTCTATTTGAATTTAGTTTTTTTTTTAACTAAATTTAAATTTTAACTTTTTTATTAAAATACAATATTAGTAATAATGGAGAGCCAGTATTCCTCAGTATCATCAGATATGAAAAAATTCTTCAGCTTACTTTTGGTTTTGAAAGTAGATAAATTATTAGTGTAGGTAGGTTTCCCTGGTTGACTGTAAGGGGAGGGGGGGGGTGGTACATGCACTACACTTTACAGGGCTTTTCTACTTTTTTTGCTTCAAATGGGGGGCTGTTTCTTCTGCAAGAAGAAATTTTAAACTCAGAATTTGCAATAACAGAGGACTGTATTTGGTTTGCTGAGAATACATTTTTCCAAATCACTTTGCTTGGCTATCAGCACTGCATATTAACATAGTGAATACTTCACTGTGGGAGTCCAAAAGATACTTGACCAAAAGTTTCTGAATTAGATATTTCTATATTGGATAAATAGAAGATATCCCTGGAATTGGGAAAATGCAGAGGTAGCAACCCTACAGTTGTATAAGAGATGCAGTCTTGTTTTTGGAATGACTGACTGTGTATGTGTGCAGTAAGAGGGATTTTTTAACGGCTTAGTAAATTGTGCATGCACTTCAAAGTACTTGTGTTTACCTTTGTTCACAAAGAAATAGCAGAGTCCTGCCTTTAAAGTCATAATTTTTTTTAAAATTAATGATGCTGAACTCTTAGAAGTGGTATTCAGATTTTTTTAGGACATTGGCACATCTGCGTTGGAGATCAAGGTGGAGGTGCTAACTGGAGCAACAGTTGATAGTCTTTAATTAAAAACTGCTGCTCTCTGTGTGTTACTTGCGGAGGTCAGTTTATACAAATGTAGCTGCACCTCTCTTATGGGTTATTGTGCCTACAAGCCTGGCTTGGCTCAGGTTTGACTTGATGTATTTAATGTACAAAATATTTCTTTGTATTTCAGGGTCATCTTCAGCCATGCCCGGGGTCAGTAATTTAGGACAGTCCAGTTCCGGTAGTCCCCGGATGTTTGCTCAGAGCCAGAACATGATTCAGATGGGACCTGGACACGCTCCTGTTGCTCCACTGCAGTCGGGCTCCAGCCAGCAGGAGCGGGGGGTGTCTCAGTACCCCAGCATGCAGAACATGCAGCGTGGGGGGCTGTACAACCTGGCACCTGGCATGACCCAGATGGTTCCTCAGCACACGACTGCGAGTGCCAATGGACAGACCCCGATGCAGAGACAGGGCAGCTTGGGCCAGGGCGCCGCCGTTCCCGCTGCCTACGGGCAGAACACCCTACCAAACTCAAGTATTTCTCAGCAGCACAATAAAGGTGCACTGAATCCAACCTTATCTAAACCACAGATGGCAAGAGTACCAGCTGCTATGGGGGCTCAAAATCCATCTTGGCAACACCAAGGTATCCCTAATGTTAACAACCAGACACAAGCAAACAGTGGCTTAGGACCATTTACTGCCAACTCCTCTTTCCACATGCAGCAAACACATCTAAAGATGTCCAACCAGCAGTTTGCCCAGGGAATGCCTCAGGTAAGCCTAAGCACCAGCAGGCCCATGACCTCGATGAACGTTGCTGTCTCTGGGCAGATGCTGTCATCCTCTTTGGGAGCACAGCCGCGGACAAACCCACCCGCACAGCAGCAGCTACCCTCACAGCAAGTCTTGCCTGGCTTGAACCAGACTGTTCCAGACCTGAATGCTTTCAACCAGAACCCAAATCAGCAAATTTCCAACAGAGGAAGCCTGCACTGTAGCCAAGGGTACCCTGTGAGGACGACCAGTCAGGAGCTGCCTTTCGCCTACAGCGGCCAGTCAGGCAATAATGGACTTCAGAACTTAACTGGTGACACAGATCTGATAGACTCTTTGCTGAAAAACAGGACTTCAGAGGAGTGGATGAACGATTTGGATGAGTTGTTAGGAACTCATTAAAATGGGACCGGGGGTGGGGGTTCCACTTTTTTTAATTATTTCATGAGATATAAACAACTCTTGGACCAAAAAAACCTGTGGCATTGAGGAGACTTGCAGGCATTAGAGGTAAATGGTTGGGAAAAAGACTGGAGCTGCTTCTCAATGAGTGTTGACACGTGGTCACAGCGCACCAAGCAGGTCTGCAGGAGGAGTGCGCTTTGTCTGCGGTCTCTGAGGAGTCACACACTTGAACAGGTCAAAAAATACTGTGTCCTAGCCAGCCTTCCAGAAATCTCACTTGCAGTGTTCTAAGACTAAATATTTTAATTATTTAAAAACAAAACAAAAATTCCACAGAAATAGTGCAGAAAGAATGCAAATAGTTGCACAAATTGTGTTTAGGGCTTAGTCTGCAGCTATTACTTGCAATAATTATTTGTTCATAGCTTGACATGTTGTTACAGTACTGTCCATCAAACTTCTGATTTTTGTTTGAGAAGAGGCTGTATGCACCTGAGTATGCTTGCAAAATGTTTGGAATTGTTTTTTTTCCCCATTGCTGAAGCATGTGCCTGTACTCTCAGTAAGCAAGTGATATTTCACAGTAAATATTTCTAGATGCTGGTAATAGATGAGAGAAAGTATTAAAACCTGGCCAGTTAGTCTAGATAGTCATCTTCATAGATTGTAGTCTTCTAAGCTGCGGTTTGCACTCTGTTGTAGAGAGGCACAGTTCTTGGCTTGTACCTTGCTGTGTTTAAAGGGGGAATTTCTTATGGGAGAACTTTTAAACTATAGTAGGTTTAACATGAATTGTAAAGCCATTTACTTTGCACCTGTTTCTTCATAACTTATTTCCAAAGGTAGTTGTATTTAAATGAAGGCTTTGCTTCATGACAGCTCATCTAGTTTTCTTTGTTGTAAAAAGTAAAACTAACCTTAGAGATCAGTTCATCCCCCCGAAGTTAGCAATGAGCACAAGACTTTGTCACTTCAGGATAAAAATGAGGAAAAAAGAATTTGGCTGGGAGGTGGAAAGTCCTTATTAGCAATAATAGCACAGGCAGCCTGGAAGAATGCTTGTATCAGGGTTGCTCCAATGTGGAAGTCTCCCCCTTAAATGCTTTGTTTTTTGAATACTGGCTTACAAGTTCGATAATCTTTCTATAGACTGGTGGATTTACTTTTTTAATATCCCTTGAAGCAGATGCTGTTCTTCAGCTCAGCCCAAGGAGACCTCTTATCCATATGTTGGGGTTGGTCCCAGAAAGGACAAAAACCACAATGGGAACAGTCAATGTTCTAAAGTCCTTACTCTACCAAAAAAAAAAAAAAAATCCCTTATCCACCAACAAACCACCTTGCCTTAACATTTATTTTAAAATTAAAATAAAGTTGAAAGCTTTTGTTTTAAATGCACAAATACCTCTTCCCTTTCTAAATCCACTTTCTTGGAAAACTCCTCCAAACTTTATAACCAAACCCAGCATTGTGATTTAAAAGCAATTTCCTTCAACACAGACTGGCTTCTCCAGGAGTTTTCTGCATTGCAGAATTGTGAGAAGGTTTTTTCCAGAGGGGGTGAAGGGAAGTGAAAGATATCATTGGTTTTGGAGAAGGAAAATATTTTACTGTATCTGCAGCTCCTTTATGAGACAATTTGCACTTTTGAAAACTGCTTTTTTAACACTAATACTTTAACCCTTTCCAAATATGCATGGAACATGGTTTATCCAGCACACTTAGCTAGTGTGGATGAATTCTGCTCTGTTGATCAGATTTGCTATTTTATCATGTTGAACTGTTGATGAAAGATGTGCATTGATCAGTGGGTCCCACCTTTGAACAGTGGATAAAACTTCACTGAAGCAGGCTTAATCCCTCATAGAGCTTTTGAAAAGATAACGTAAAGATTGTCTTTGGATGGGAAGATGAAGGTGTTGGTGACTTTGGTTGTTGACACTTCTGATATTTTCTAGAATAAGTAGTTGAGATGCAAATAACTGATGCTCGCTTTTCTCATACTGGCAATCTAAGAAAAGAGCTAATGAGCTTGGTTTACTATTAAGTTAAACCAAAAACTGGTCCAAGGTAAGTGTCATTAGAAGAGTATAGATATAAACTAGCAATGGCAGGGGAAGGAGTGTTTGTTGTTTTTTTTAATTTTAAGGGTTAACTTTGCACCAGTGTGCCTTCCCTTCCTGTCAGGGGTGCTTGGGACCTCAATTTCAAGTGACATCATTCCATGTCACTGTTTTTTTTCTCCCCCTTAAAAACACTTGACAGAAATAACAGGGTAGTAGGATTCAGCTTTTCTTTCTCCCTGTTTAGGTTGTGGTGAAATCTGCTCTGTTTTCCAGTAGATTTTGCACACAGACTTTGTTCCGAAGAAGTCAAAATACAATCCATCCAGTTGTGATTTCTTAATTGGAGGAAAAGAACATCTGCTGTTTGCATTGTTACTACCAAAAAGGCAATCCGGCAAAATGTCCAGGAAAACGCAGGTGTGCTCTTTCCTCCACTGTTTCTGGAAGCTAAGGTGGATATTGCTCTGCTTGACCAGAGGGTTTGTTCAGGAAGGTATCTGGGTTTGATGACAGGGCCTTTTCATGGTACTGTTGGAGTAAAATTAAGTGTGATTCTAGACAAACTGGCTTATAATGCCCACTGGTGTCTGTGTGTGAACGGGATCCCAACAGCCCCTGCTCTGGCTTTGGTCCCTGTGCACAGAACGCAGTCGGAGCGTTGGGAACGTGGGGCCACTGGAACAAGGGTGGAACAGTTCAATGGAAATGAAAATACGGTTTTGATGTACATGGGTGCATGGGCAGGGCTGGGCTCTGCCCTGGTGCCCTGTAATGTGTCACTGGCTGTGTCTGCACTCGGGCTTTCCATTTGCTGCAGCTTCAGAGCAATAAAACCAATCTCCCCTGAACTGAACCCAGCCGGCCGCCCATGGCTTTATTTATAAACTGCGGTTTTGGTTGGGCATGCAAGGTGAGAGTGTCACTGTGCAACATCCACTGCCTTCCAAAAACCACGATCCAATTGAAAAGGGTGCTCAAAATTTTGTTATACACATTTCCTTTGTGTAAATAAATGTTTACAATTTTATATTAAAGATTGAATAAGAGTTAGATCTTCTGACTGTATATTTTTTACTTTTTATAGATTTTAAAACTATAATTCTTTATATATGTGTTTGGGGGGGTATTATGGTAAGCTTTATGCTTGTAAATGGAGAACAGTTGAATTTGATGCTAACCTTTATGAATTTTTGTCATTGAAATGTATAAAGAGTCCATTAATCCCCTTATTCTTTTACTACAATTACTGGTGCACACCAAAAAGAAATCCTTCACTTCTGTTTTATCATTATAAAATAAATATTTTGCTAGTGTATTAAATATACATGGTGTGACTTTATACATTTGCGTGAGCTGAGCAGAGTTTAGTGTTGTCATTCCTAGTGAGATGGTTCCTTCCCTTCATCCCAGCACACAATTTTTTGCTCGGCCTATTACTAAGACTCAGATTCTGCTGCTCTATCTTACCAATTCTTATGGTTTCAGAAAGTCTATTTAAACAGGCCAGAACTGGATAAAGGGGCCTTAGAAAATGTAACTTTGAAAATTGGGCTTTATGCTACTCCCACTGCTTCCGGGCTTTTGTTTTTTTTCTGGAATGCATTGTAGACCTGAATCTGGGAAATTCAACTGCAGAGGTGGTTGTTAGTAGTGAAAAAGATGTTAATAACTACCAAGACCTCACATGTGCAAAATTGTAAAGTTCCAAAATGTGCCAGTTCCCTCAGAATGACAGCCTTTGGAGGTTCAAACTGATTTCCTCAAGACTTGTCTGATGCAGGCACATGGTGCACACAGGACTCCAGCTGAGACGTGGGACATGTGCTGCAAGCAGGAGCTGATATTTGAGCAAGGAGCAAAGCACTGGCAGCAGCGTGTGTGGAGGTCTTGGCTTAAGGCTGGTAAAGTCCCAGAGCCACTGCCCAGCTTCAGACACTGATGGATCGTTCTCCAGGCTTTGCAGTTGGTGTCATTGTGCGGTTGTGTTTGCAGCCCCAGCTCAGCCTCCATGTTTCCTCACAGCAACCTGTAAGTGCCAGAGTGTATTTTTAGTGTATTCCTGCTCTACAAGTTTTGTTTTCTGTTTGGGAGATGTAGAGACCTGTAACTTCGGAAGATTATAAAGACACAAACGTAGCAATCAGGAGCAGTACCAGAATCAGTTGCTTTTAGCCCGTGCGCAACAGTGAAGTAACATTAATTTTTGCTTTATTGTCTCATTAAAAATGCTGCATTTTAGTTATTGTTGAATGAAACAGAAATTTCCCAAACCATCCCCCGCTGAAATGATATCTGTGGTTTTCCAAAGATTTGAAGGAGTCAGTGGCAGCTTATCATGAACCTTTGCTCAGAAACTAATTTGATTTATTTTTTTTTTTCCTTGATGCCAGTGTTTTTCCTGAGAGTAATGGAAATCTGTAATGGAAGTGTTTTCTCAAACCTGAATTGTTTGTTGAAATATATTGTAAGGAGACCCTGGTGACATTTCGTCTCTGACTTTTATATTGGACACCACAGATGAAATCTTTGGTCACCAATAGGTTCAGTTAAGGTTAACGTTTAGGTTTTAGTTCTATTTAGTCTGAGTCTGCTGTACCTTGGAGAGTCAGAATTCACATCATGTGAGTGTTTTTTAGAGAAAGGGAGTGGTTTTGCAATTCTACATGTGTGGCTATTTATAAAAAGTGTAACATTGGGTATTTGATTGATTAACTGAATTTTCAACTTGATGAACTGTCACAATGGGGTTTTGAAGCAATGAAAGCCAAACTAGAAAAAAAAAAACTTGCTCTGTCCCTCTTGGGAGAAACTGTAGGTCTGGTACATGCACAGATTCTTCAGTGAGGGTTTGTGTGTGTGACTGAACAGAGAGAAATGCAGTGGCTCCACTGCAGACACCAGCATTGAGAGAAAACCTCTCTGATTTTAAAAATTTTGGCATCAGAGTAATCCATATGAAGTTGCTCAAAAACATAAGGTAACTTTGAACTGATGCCAATTTTACTTTTGTGGAGTGGGGAGATAAGTTATTCAAGGCTAAAACACTGCTGGTTTTCAAATTTTACATTTTACAATTAAAACTCTGATGTCAGTTTAACATTTATCAGGGTCTGTATGTTTCTACATCCTCTGCTGCCTTCAGAACTGAAAATTTGTGTTTTGTATTGTTAGCTAGGGAAAGGTTTGTACTGCTTAAAAACTTCAGAAAACTACTAAGGGTGAGCGAGAGCTAGAAAAGAACAGTACTCCTCTTTGATAAACTGAAGGGTAGTAATTAGTAGGATAAAGTATCTGAATGTTCTGTTAAATCACAAAATCTGGTAACAAAATTAAGTTATTCCAGCTGGAGTGTATCAGATCTTTCATGTGGTCAACTCCACTACTTGAAATAAGAGCTGAAGGTCAAGTCATTAATTTGTAAATGCTTGTTAATAATTTTTACAACCTTGCACATAATTGAGATGCTTCAGAGCTCATTAAAACTAGCAACAAAAGGGCTGGGAAGAATTCCATCATCTTTCCATTGCCAGCAACATATAATTCAATCGTGGTCTAAAATATGCAAATGTAAATTAGAAGAATTTCACAATTTGCTCGTGCAGAATTCTTCTCTGCTCCATTGTTCAGCAACAGGCACTTGGCTGCAACTGACATTTTTCTGGTGGGTGGATGCTTTGGAAAGCCATGTGTTGTAGAGAGAGTTAAGGCGTGGTGGAGGAAACACCTGTGCTCAGAGGCAGCTCTGTGGAAGTGGGTGGTGGAGGAGCATTGGGACACCTATACCCAGCACATCAGGCTGGGGTTTGCTCCACAGTCGGCACCATGAGAGATCAGATAGACCTGCTGGCCACAGTCACCGTTCTGGGGGTCCTGGAGCAAGGTAAATATCCTTTGTACAATGGCAGTATTAAGCTAATTACATTAAATTTTGTGGGATGGGGTTCCTGTATTTTTCTCAGAGTGTCTGTGCAGTGAAAGTCACTGTTTTCCAGCATGGTAAAATGATACGAATTTTTGGCTTGTTCTTTGCAGAAGTGTCATGCCTGAGGGTGGTCATTATTTAACAGGGACTAAAATAATCCTCAAAGCCAGCAATTAAAACTTTTAGACTTAAAGCAATTTCGACATGGTCTTAAAGTAAACTAGTTTGTGATTGAATTTTAGCAGGTGATTTGTAACTTACAGTGGCTGGAGGTAGCCAAAATAAAGGCAGGTTAGTAAATGTGCTGGTGAGGAGGTCAGTGTACAGACAGAGCTGGTGTGGATATAGCAAAGAGCCTCATGCATGCAGGTGTTTCTCTGTCACCAATATCCTTGTATGCTCCTATGGCACAGAGCAGATGACAAGATGGACTAAGAGCACAGTAATTTGGAAACTAATGCAAGTTCTGGGCAGAAATAGACACAGAGCTCTTCAAAGGAACACAGTGACTTCTAATTTAAATAGATGCATTGTGTTTAGACCATTTAGAAGGAACAGGGTTGTTGCCAAGCTCTGTTTATTTTTGGGTCCTTTGGATAAAGTCTGTCCCTCTTGAGCTTCAGGACTCCCCTGCCTAGGATGGGGACAGAGCCCCCATTTTATTAAAATCTTCACAATTCTATAAGGGAAGGTTTGTGGGTTTTTTGTTACTGTATTAATTGGTGAATTACATACAGCTATCACACAAATGCTTACAAATGGATGTGAATCTCTGAGCAGCATCATATGCTTTTAGCCATCAGATGATAAATCTCTCAATATAAGTATTATTTAAAACAAAATATGCCACTTTAAAAATAGAGCTCAAGACTTCTGAATTTTCAGTAATTTCCACTCAATTTACACAGACATACCACCAACTACAAATGGAAGAAACCTTTTTACTATGAATTTTTTTGTTATTAAACTGAGGGTGGAGTGAATGTTTAGCGTGCAAAGACAAGACATGAAGAAAATTTGAAATTGAGTTACAGAAATGCTGCTGAGCCTTTTTCCTTTAGGAAACCCTCAGTAGCAAATCTCTAGATAGCAGTTTTGTCTCAAATATTTTTGTTTAATGAGAATTTCAAGTACTTTTTAAAAGTTGCAGCATTAAACATTTTACTTTCATGGTATACAAGCTGGGTGTGAAACAGCAGACAAATAGCAGGCATCGGCACCCTCATACCTGTTTGATAGGATGAGGTATCCTGGTTTTATGATCTCTGCATGGGAAGCCGAGGAGCAATTGCAAAATACTGTGCATTTCCTTCCCATTTACTCCCATGAAATACGTGTGCCTGTCACTGGGGTTCAGAGCTGTGAGTGGCTTTCTCTGCACGTTTTGAAAGGACATGCTGTAGGTGAGTTACAGGTCTGGGATTTGCTCTGAGCAGGTGAGTGCTGAAGCACAGACATGGGCTGTCCCTACAGACACTTCTCCTTTCCATCACATCCTGGAGTAGGAGATGGCATTTAATGGCTGACCTCAGTACAGCGTTTGGTTGATTTTTATGTTTCCTTTTGAATTTCCTGGGAGCCTGCAGTTTCCACATTCTTTCAAGTAACTTTTTTTAATTTAGTCATCCTCAGTTTAGTGAAACTCTTGAGTTTAGCAGTCTTTAAATGTGTGCCCCAGCCTTGTGGTGAACATTATACCACAGAGCAAAATTACTCCAGTTTTTTCCCCTGCTCCTTTATTTTACAGCTTCAAAGGAAAGAAAACTTATGCAATGTCACTGTCAGGCCCCACAGGGCTTGTTTGCCAGGTTCACTCAAACGTGGCAGATAGCAGCTATGATCCGATTTGACAAGTTTGTGGACATAATCAAATAGAGAATGAAGAATATTTCCACTGAAGAGCAAAGTTCAGGGAGAGCTGGGCCCCTAAGCCACATGGGAATCCACACAGGTGATTAACCTCGAGACACGAATCACAAAAAAAAAAAATGTTTTGAAAGGTTCTGCAGAGTAAATTGAACTCTTTTTCTCCAGGAGTCTGTGCTGAGAAGGCTCATGCAGTGTGGATTTTTTCAACACCTCATTCTGAGAATTGCTTTTGTGGACTGATTCTTCATCCTTAGTTCTTCACCCTTACACCAGGTTTGGGGAACAGCCAGCTGTCCTCCAAAAGGCTCCTGCTCCTCTTGGGTGGTGGTTTTGTATGTTACTCGTCCCTAAGTGTCAGGGACCTGTGTAGGACTTGAATATTAGCCCCTGTGTAGAAGCAAGATGCCAAGTGTAGAGCTGATGGAGAGGTTTGATGTGAAATGACTCTTACCTCACCCATCAGTCACAAGAATCCTACCTTAGGGAAGGTGCAGATGGCACGAAGCAGGATGAAGGGCATTGTCCAGTGCAGTTTGGCTTATGCCACAAGCCAGATCTGCTCATGATGCTGTAACTTCATCTCAGTCCATTTTTGGAGAGGAGTCTGGGATGATACCCTGAGAGCATTAGGGAGGATGAGAGGTAATAGGATGAGTCATGGTTTCACCTCATTCCCAGAGCTCTGCCAGCAGCTGCTGAATTCCAGTTGCATGTTACACCTTTCTGGGTTCACAGAGGGAGTGCTGTGTCCTGTCCTGCTGGACCTCTGGAGAAGGGTGACACCCTTGCCCATAATCAACCTGCTACAAATGAATCAAAGAAGGGGGAACATTCTTGTTTCCCCCCACTTTGCTCTGTCAGCACCTCTCATTTAGGGCTGGGTCACTGTGGAAGACACTAGAACATGCTTAATTGTTCTTAAATGTGTTCTTAAAGAAATGACTTTTTGTGTTACTAAAACCTTGTGATACACAAGTCACATAGCATCAGATTATTTACATTTCTAATTCCCTTCTACATATGTTCTAATGCTTTTCTGCAGGCACATGTCTTGTCTTTAATCTTGGAACATCTGTCCCTACTTCCCCTTCTCTATCCTGCTGTTCTGCTTTTATCTTTGTTACAATAAGACAGTCCCCAAGGCAGGCCTTGCACCCCAGCTCCTTGTTTCTCTGTGCGATGCTCTGGAAATGTTGCTATGTGAGGATTTTGCTCACATAGCGAAAGTGCCAAGTGGCTCAGTGATACCACCACAGCCACCAAAGTAATTGTTTTTATAACTTAGTTTTCTCCTATATGAAAATAGGAGTTTTCAATAAAGGAAGCAGTGTAGTAGTGCACCAAAATAAAACACTCAGAGCATCAGCAATTGCCTGTGGGAGTAGGAGCTTTCAAGAATACTTAAACATTCCAAATCTTTATGTTGTTGAATATTTGAAGTGACTTTCCATGTCCTTTACCAATGTACAAAGGACTGATGCAGCAGACACTGAGGGGCTCAAATGTGGCACTGATAGCAGGCATGGGCGGCACCTCTGCTCCTTGAACCACTGGAGCCTTGGGGCTGCCCTGCGGGAGTGAAGAGCAAGAAATAATCACCCTCTTCCCCATTTTCCTTTTATTGCCATGATTAAGAGCATCTCTAATTGACTTAGTGATATCCCAGTGCTGGCAGTTTGGATGCTGCTCTGTGACATGGGCCATACTTTGCACCCACTATGAACAGCAGAAAATGCTGCACATCATTCCCATCAGACAGGCTGATGGTGCACAGGTACTCTAAACACAAAGTGCAAGACTAAGAAATAATTCTGCAACTCAGTGTGGACTTGGGAAGGTCTTATTGTGTGTTTTATCTCCTGGGGAGCAGCACTGAGGGCTCTGCTGGGTGTGCACCTCATACAGTGAGGTGCTGGATGTGAGATGCTGCAGTGTCATCCAGCACTCAGCTGGGATAACCAAAACTAAATTTAAAGCATGAGGGTGAAATAAATAGCACATTTGTTACAGGTCATGTATGACAGCCTTGGACTGTAGGCCTAGATCATACCAGCTCTTTCATTCTAACCACTTGCTTGATTCCAAGCCAGATGAAGCTTGGTTAAATGAACACTGCTGGTCTGTTACCACTCCTGTGTTCTGTTTTTAGCCTATTTTGCAATGCAGGTGATCTATGCCCGTCGGAAGTACAAGATTTCCCCTCCTGAAACAACAGGTCACCCTGAATTTGAGCGGACCTTCAGAGCCCAGTAAGCTGTTAAGTTTTTGTGGCAACTTTGTCTAAATAAGACTTGAGTCAACCATCACTGTTGGGAGAGACCGGTCCCCCTCAAGTCACCTTTCCACTTACTGCTACTGATACAATTTTTTTTTTTCAATGCTTTGTGTACAAAGGTCTTCATTTTGATTTGGAGCTTTTTGGCTGGGGTGTTTCTGTCCATCCATGACAATTTTCCTTCTGGCATTGTGAGGCAGCCAAATTACAAATTAGTGGCTGTATGGAGGAGGCGCAGAGCATTCACGATTAGAATCATTAAATTTAATATTACCATTTGCTCCAAGTGGTGAGAGCAGCCAAAGCTTTATTAATAACCTGATATTTTCTTGTAATGTTTTGCTGTTGAATTGAAGTAAACGGCCTTGCTGGGCCCTTGAAGCTACAAGGGCATTTTAATTTTTTCCCATTCAGAAGCCATTGTACTGTGAGAATCAGCACTTGCAGGCCCCTGCTGAGGGCTGTTTCTTTTTGCTCTGTTCCTATGGAGAGAGCAATGCTGGAGCTAAAATGGAAATGTTCACAGATCCCTTCGGCTTCCAGAAAGCACCAGATTCCGTCTTTCATCTCAGTCATTCTGTTTTGTAAGCGATTGAAAGGAATTGGCTGGAGCTGGTGTGAAGGGTAGCTCCAGCCCGGCACTAAATCCCGAACAAAGCAGCTGCGTTCCCTTGCCAGCACACAGGAAACATTTGTGGAGTGACAAAACCACCGGCTTCAGTCCTTCTGTGGTGCCATGGAAGGCCAGCCTGCCTGGAGACATCAGCCTCTGTGAGCTGGGGAGCTGCTGATGTGGCTTTTAATCAAATACTGAACTGTTAAATGTGTGTTAACCACGCCATGCCTTGGCTGCGGTGTTCTGGGAAACCCTGGCTCTAATGGGCAGGGAAGGTGAGCTCAGAAGGACTTGGACTTGAGAAGATATTGCTTCTTTCTGGGTTTTTCTCTTTTCCCTGTGGAAGAGTATACAAATGGATAATTTGATATATTGAAAAATATAATATGGGAAAAAGTGGTATTGATATATTACTCACTTGAAGAAACCTGGCAGCTTCCCCCCACTGAAGCTTAAACTGCATTTACAGAATAAGCTTCTTCAGACTTTTACCAGCTTCCAGTTTGGCTCCATTCTCCAAAGGTTTGTACATTTTTGGCCAACATTAAGATTAAATTGCCTAGGGAATGGTAAAATGTGGGAGAAGCAAAACCAATGTCTTTAATAACACAGCTCCTACTTTTGCAGAAAATCTGTATTTTTGTCACTAAAGGAAAAAGGAGGAAAACCTGGCTGTAGGTTTGATCATCTCCTGCTGAATTTTATCTGAGAGAAGGCTCCTTCTTGGAGTGTGACTTGTGTGACTCCCAAATCTGGGCTGTGCTCAGCCAAGGGGAAGAGAAAGCTCCTTAAATACTGACAAGAAGGCTCTTCCCCAGCAGCTGGAGGTGCAGCAGCTGCCTGTGATGGTGCTGTGTGTGGGATGGAGCCTGTCGAGGGCCCAGCAGAGACGAATCTCCATCTCAGCCACAGCTTGTCATTCCAGGGCCATGTGAATATGGGAGAGGTGAATGCTATGTGCTGTTTGGCTGTTTTTTTTCTCTACAATACAGATATTGGGTATTCTTGATCACAGAAAAGGCCCCTTTCCCACAGCACAGTGATGGTTCTCATCAGCTCTTTTAATTTGCTCTGAGTTTGCAATTCCCTTCTCCAGCCTTAGTTATCCAGGCTCTGATGTACAAAGAGGCAGTTTTAACTCTCATCTCTGGTTCTCACCAGGGCAAACTGCTCAGAGTACTTCCCAATCTTCATTTCCCTCCTCTGGGTTGCTGGAATCTTCTTCCATCAAGGTAAGAGGGATGTTGGGGGGAACTCCAATCCAAACCATGTGAGCAAACAAAAAAACCACAGCCCTAAGTTAAATCCCATTGTGACTTAGGCATTCTCTCTGTGCCTGTGAGGCTCTTGTTCATGGAAAGCAAATTTCCCCTTTAGCTGGATTGACTGAGAAGTGCCCCAACTGCAGCTGAGAGCAGCTGAGCCCATCGCTGCCTGAAGGAGGAAGTACTGGCAGCCCTTGCTCCTTTGCTGGAGCCTGGTTGTCCCCTTGTGCTGCTTCTCCGAGACAAGGTCAGGCTCTCCCAGGGTGGCAGCAGCTGAGGCAGAGCTATGTCAGAGCAAGAAACCATAACCCAAACATTTACTCATCCACTGTCTGTCCCCCTACCAAGTGAGCTCAGGGGACTGGGTTGCTGCCACAGGGAAGTTGTGTGGAGAAACCACATCGGGGAGCATTGCCAACCCAAGTCCCAGGGCAACTCTGTGGGGCAGAGAAGTTCATCCCTCACAAAAAGGGAAAGAAGAAAACATTTAAGCTCCCACAGTGGTTTAAAGCCAAACTGCTCTGGGTCATGCCCCATCTGCTGGGGTGACTGCTGGAATGCAGCTCCAGCAGTGTCCAGCACCCCAAGCCCCACCAGAACTGGGCTCCCCATCCCCACAGGTGTGACTGCAGTGTGTGGGCTCTTGTACCTCTACACCCGCCTCAAGTACTTCCAGTGCTACGCCGTGGCTGCGCAGGGACGGTAAGGACCTGACCGGGACTGTGGGCACCCCAAACCAGCCCAGGGAGGCTGGGAGCACAACCTGGCCTCTGGAACAGGTTTCCTTCCCATGGGTGGGATTGCAGGCAGATTTTCACCACCTCCTCCTCCTCCCCTCCTGCCCCCGTGTGCTCATGGCTGTGTCACCTCTTCCCTGGAGGGTGGGGACTCGCAGCACTGCCAGTGTGCCCTGTGTCCCGGCTGGGCTGGCAGTGCCTGATGGTGTTTTCTCCCACCCAGGTTGGGACCACTGTATGCCAGTGCCTGGCTGCTCTGGCTGCTGATGGGGCTGGCTCTGGCCGGGCTCCTGGCACACTTCCTGTGGCCCAGCTCCTCCACAGGGATGGCAGCACTGCTGTGGCCTTTCCAGCTCCGTGGTGCCCACTGAGAGGGGCCACGGCTCTCCCAAAACTCACTGTTTGCCCCAGCACAGGGGAGCCAGATGCTGGCACTCCTCTGCTCTTTAGAGATAATTTCCCTTCTAGAAAGCAAATGCTTTCCAGCCCCTGCCCCCGCTGAGGAGGTTCACTGCTTTAGAGCACTGTCTGTTCTAAAATGCCTCTGGCTCTGCCTCATGGAGCACACACTGACCCACATGCTGTTGTCTCTCCTCCTTACTGCTGTAATGATCTGTGTTGAAGAATCACACCATGGATATACAAAAATAAATTGTTTTTCTCACTAGAAATCACCTGTGATTGTCAAAGGTGCTCAGAGACTGGTGTGAGAACATCTGAGCTGGGGATTGGGTTTCACAGGAAAAGCTGCTGTGATTAACTGAAAAGGATGGGTAAGCTTGCCTAAAACCACATCCAAACACTGGGAGAAAAGCCTGACCCTAGTCCAAGTACTAAAGTCTGTGTCTGGCAGTGATTGAATGACCTTTACTTTGAGCCAGCTCCACTTATCACCCACCCTGCAACAGGACCTTGCCCTTCCTGGATTCCACCCTCCACTGAGAAAACTTGGGGGGGGTCACAGGTGCCTTAAGCAGCCGTGCTTCAAGTGACTCTCACTACTGCACCAAAGGTTTAAATTTAGCTTTTATTACAGTGCACATTGTTTTATATATTTATATAGAGATGTACTTGAAAAATCAAATGTATCCAATAATAAAAAATACAGAACATTAAAGTAGTATAATGCATTCCAGTGTATAGCTGAAAGGACATTGGGATTTACACTAATCCCTGCTATTTTTGAACTGGGCTACCTCTGCTTTTTTTTTTTTTTTTCCTTCCCCAAAAAACCCACATCAATTAATAACTGAAATAGTTATTTAAAAAAAAGACAGTTTCTGCACTCAATCTCAAGGCATGAAGACACTGGAGACTTCACCGTGAGTTAAGGGGCTGTGTTCAATGCTGGCAGGCACAGTGTGGCGTATTTTATTTTTTTGTTTTCCCTGCCATAATCATAGCTCCAACCCCTTTGGATTCGTTCTTCCTCTGCTGAAGGAAGGTCAGTCTTTGCCCTCACTTAATTCTCAGCTGTGGCCAGGACTGTTGCCTGGGAGAGGGCGAGGCAGGTCCCTGCCACCTCCATCCCATGGTGGGGTCAGCTGGCAGGTCTCAGTGTGACCTGCTCTGTCCCCAAATACAGCCAAAATTGCCCTTTCTGGGGCTGAAGGTGCTTTTTGTCCCCACGCTCGCTAAAGCTCATCCCGACCCCAAACTGTGCCGCGTGTCCCGAGCGGCAGCCGGCACCCCGAGGGGCCGGGGGAGCGGAGCAAAGCCACCCCTCTGCACAGGGGGTTGGGTTCTGCTTTTTGCTCCCCTTCAGGAGAAGTCGATGCCCGTCCTGGCCCCGCAGCCCTGCTGGGGATGGTGGGGCTGGCGCAGCAGCAGCTTTGCCGTGGTCTGTCGGCGAGTGCCGCCTCCGGCAGCCGGCCCTGCGCTGTCCTGCTCCGGGCAAGGCGCCGCAGGGAGGAGGGAGCGGGAGGGAGGGAGCAGGAGCAGGGATCCACGAGTGTGTCTGTTCTGCCTCACGCCTGTTTCACTCTGCTTTTTTGATAAAAATCTGGAAGAAGAGAGGGATGGGATCAGAGCGATGAGCAGGGCAGGGGAGGGACGTGCTGAGGGAGCTCGGCTTACCTCGCTCAGGATGATCCACACCGGGGAGTCGGTCTGGATGGAGAGCCTGATGGCCTCCAGTGGCCCAAAGGATGGGTCCACCTCACCCTCTGCGACGCCCTTGGAAAATGAACCTGGTGGGGAGAGCACATGGCTGACACAGGGATGGTCCTCTGGCATTGCCCCTACACTTCCCCTCTTTCCCAGGGCACAACCAACAGCCCCAGCAGGCCCTGCCTGTGGCTGCCTCACACAAAACAGGCTAAAAAACAGCACTGTGGATGGCAATACATTGCAAAATGCCACACTTTGGAGGAAAAAAATCAGGTAAACAAACCAAAATGTACTTGGAGTATTTGGTGTCATATCTGTGTGTGAAAGGGGACAGAGTTGCCTACATGCTTTTTTGGTTGTGATTTTTATTTTTTTGAAAATGCAACTGGGAGAAACCAGCCAGTATGCAGAAGAATGAGAAAATGGCAAAACACTGCATGTGACAGGAATTTTTTCTTTTATTTTTCTGCTTTAAAAAAAAATGACATCTTAGCAGGGACACCAGGGCTGTATCACACACTGGCAGGTCTCTGGAGGCTGCAATTGCTTGTTCTTGTCCAAAGGCAGGGCAAGCACTAAAACAAGCTCAAGTGGCAAGAGACGAAGTCTGGCCTGCTAATGGTTTGAGTACAGAGATGGCAAAACTGCCCCTGGTGGAGGTTTTTAACCCCAGAGTAAGCAAACAAATAATCTGCATCATTTGGTCCCAGCTCTGAGCAGAGATTGGCAGAAACAGAGGACTGAAAACTATCTGAGGAGGACAGCCTGGTCTGAGAGAGAGGGCAGTGGAGGAGAGGAGACAATGACAATTAAATACTGTTCCAACCTTTCTCCTGGCAAGCAGAAATTACTCTTTGCCAAGCAAATAGCTCTAAGGTTCTTGACATGCAGGTGAGGATTTGGGCTGTGTTATCGAAGACAGCAAGCACTTTACCACCCCACACCCCCACTGTACCTATCTGGATGTAGCCATCCGCTGTCCTGCGGTACTTGATGACTGCGCCTCTTCCCTCCTGCAAGGCTTCCTTATCTGACTGTAGACTCTGCAAATGGAGTTTTGTGCAAAGCCAAAGGCAAGAGTCACCCAAAAGTCCCAAAGGAAAAGCAGCAACCCCTGAGATGTCCTTGCCAACATCTCGTCCCATACCTGGTAACCCTGAGACACACACCCAAAACAAGAGGACAGCTGCAGTCCTCACACTGCTGTTTCCACTGCACCATTCTGGCTTCATCTCCTCCTCTGCAGCCATCCCACCCATTGCAGCATCCCCAGACAGGGATGGCTCACACAGCCATGCCTAGCACCCCATTCCCGAGGTGGCATCACACCAGGCATGACCCTCTGGCTTCCTGCCAGCACCTGTAAGAGGCACTCAAATCTTGTAAGGTTTTTCCTGATGGCTCTAAGCAGTTCCCTCCTCTCAAGCCTCTTTTGCTTCCCACTCCACCCTCACCTCAAATCTCAATCAAAGACTTACGTCAAATGGCAGAACCTCCACGGTCGTGTTGAAGAGTTTGTCTTCGGGGTGCTCGATGTTCCCACTGCGGAAGAAAAACCTGTGACAGAGACCAAATCCACAGAAAGACACACTGAGCGAGGGGGCACATGATGGCTTTCACCCCATCTGAATCATCAAACAGCTCAACCTAACAGGCACTTTCCCAAAGAGCCCACAGCACCATTTGGCCTGAGACTTTCTATGCCAGATCAGCTAAACCATGGACTGCTCACAAGTGGAGGAAAGCAAAGGGCTCTGGAAAAGGTGGCCCCAGTGAGAAAGGGTTAAATTATCCTTCCCCTGGAAGACCATTGCTCTCTCCTCCTGGGCAGCCAAGCAGGAGACAGGCAAGAAATTTGATTTAAATTGCCAGAAGAGCAGAAGTCAAGTGTCTCCATGTGCTCTGGGCTGCCCCCACACCCCCACTGACCCCTCAAGCACTGGCCTTTCAATACGGAGAGGTTTGAAGAATCGGAATCGGATGAAGTCTCCAGCAGTGGGAGTGAAGGCCCAGAAGAAGTCCTCCCTCAGGTAAGCCTTCTCCAAGGTGAAGTGCTGGTAGGTTTTCAGGCTGGTGCTCACCTCGGCAGGAGGGTTGACGTGCTCTTTCCGCAGTGCCTGTTTCCCAAAGTCCTTGTCCTTGGTGGGCACAAAGCAAAATGGCAGAGAAGGGCCATGAGCTGCTCTGGCCTGTGAGGAACCAGGGTCACAGCTACAAGGCACTGCAAATTAAAATTTTGTGATTTGCAGGGCACAGAAGGATGAGACATGGAAGTAATCTGGGAAAGGCATCAGGCAGGGAAATGTGTGACTGGATCCCAGGACACTGCTTCAGGAGAGGCAGCTCAGAGAAACACCCCTGCTCTGTGCTCTGATCCAGCACACCAAGGAGCCTTTCATTGTCCTAATGTCCCTGAATGCCTGGCCCTGCCCCAGGAGTTCTGGAAACAGTCTTTACACTTGAGGAGAAAGCAGCTGTGAGGCTGACAATAGCATAAAATGACTGGATTACATGGCCTGACAGCACTGCACTGTGATACAAACTGGATTATACCATCCATTTCCCCAGGGATGACACAGACAGCACAGCCCAGGGATGTCTGTCTATGGGTTCTGCACTTGTACTTGTGGGAAGCTGCATTTTGTTCATGTTTAAACACACATCAACAATTCCAGCTCTTATACAGTGAGTTATAATTTGCCCATCACCAAATCCCAGGCACATGGAGTAGAGTGGGAAGGAAGTCAGACCAACCCAGGAGTCATCTCTCAAGGTTTTTCAGTAGATCCTTCAAAGTCACTTGCCTGGACCATGGTCTGGCACTCAGGGTGGGTGGCCAGGACTGGTACCGACGCTTGAAATCTTGCAGTGACTCTTGGTGCATGTCACTGCCATTCTGAGGAGCAGGAGCTACCTGAGCTCACTGTAATTCACCATAAAACACAACCACTTCACAGAAATCCAGCTGCCACCAGCTGCTGTCACTGATGTCCCCAGCCAAAAGCAGTCAGCTCCTGGGTGTCTGCAGGCCAGGCCACCTGTAGCTTGGACAGAGAGCTGGTACCCACCTTCAGCTTCTGTATCTTCCCAGCCAAGGAGGAGTGGGTTCCCACGTGCTGGAAGAGCGAGGGCTTGAAGCGGATCCTCAGGTTTGCCTTCTGCCTGTCGCAGTGTTTCTGAAACGAGACACATGCCCCAGGCTCAAACCTCTGCAGGCCACTGTGGCCCTCACCAGGGAAGGACAAGGGCACAAGGAGTGACAGACAGCCCTGTCCTCCATCTCTGTGCCC